CCTGTGTTACAAGTTTACTCTGACCTTCCAGTCTGCCTGCCACAAGGAGAAACTCCTCACACTGCAGGACCGTGGGAAGAGCCCCCTACTTCTCTCTCCCCTCCATAAAGTGATTAATCTGATCCAGGAGCATTACTGTGAAATTGAGCATTGCCTCCATCAAGTGCGAACCAGTCAGCTGTCCAGAACCTTCCCCTATGTCAAATCTGACACTTAACAGAGCCAAATATTTTGTTCTTGGTGGTGAAACTAGTGTAAGTACAATGCTTTTCACATGGACCACGGGGAGGTTTTCTGGATAACAGAGGCCTACCAGTATTTTCTTTTAAAGACACATTGTGATACGCTCACACTAAAACCTTGTGAATAGATTCATCCCTCTTATTATTCAAAGAGGTGTCTCTCAGTTCTGTGGTCTCTCACACTAAAACCTTGTGAATAGATTCATCCCTCTTATTATTCAGAGAGGTGTCTCTCAGTTCTGTGGTCTCTCGGGAATATTTTGTGGCCTCTTTGGTCATTGTCGATTAGCTGGGCAGAGGCTCCGAGTGGCCCACTGTGCTGAATGGGACTCATAATTAATTTCAGGGGGGTAAGGATGCTCCCTCTGCAGTGAACATCAAGTGAGGCCACTTGATTGTAGCCATAACATTCCTAGGACTTATCTCCTAGGAAGGGGAAAAAATCCCAAAAGCTACTTTTAAAGAATTAATAGACTCTATTTTTTAGAGCCATTTTAGGGGTTACAGAAAAATGTGCTGAAACTGTCGAGTTCCCACATACCTTCCCATCCCCCCTTCCACATTGTTTTCCCTGTTAATGTCTTGTTAATAGCACAGGACATTTGTTAGGATTGATGAACCAATACTGATACATCATTAGTGACTAAGGTCCACAGCTTACATTAGGGCTCACTCTGTGGTCTGTAGTTCTGTGGGTTTTGACAAATGCATGATGTCAGTATCATAAAGAATGATTTCACCACCTATATGAAAAAAATATGCAAAAAAATATGCACCTATATGAAAAAAATACCTATTCACCCTCCTCCTCCTCCTTCAGGCAGTCAGGGATCTTGTTCCTGTCTCCAGAGTTTTGTCTTTTCCAGAGGATCTATGGTTGGAAACACACAGTGTGTACCCTTTTCAGGCCAGCTTCTTTCACTCAGAAACATGCATTTGGGGCGCCTGGGTGGCTCAGTCTGTTAAGCGTCTGCCTTCGGCTCAGGTCATGATCCCAGGGTCTTGGGATCGAGCCCCGCATCGGGCTCCCTGCTCAGTGGGGAGCCTGCTTCTCCCTCTGCCCTTGCTCCTCCCTCCCTGCTCATGCGCGCTCTCTCTCTCTCTCTCTCTCTCTGTCAAAAAAAAACCAAAAAACAACAACAACAACCATGCATTTGGCTTCCTCCTTGGCTTTTCATGACTTGATAGCTCATTTCTTCTCATTGCTGAAAAATATTCCATTGTCTGGGTGGACCACCGTTTGTTTATCCGTTCACCTACTGGACGGGTTGGTTGCTTCCAAGTTTTGGCAATTATGAATAAAGCTGCTAGGAACATTTATGTCCACACATTTTTGACTCTTTTGAGCAAATACCTAGGCAAAAAAGACTTCTAAAAATATGATTTTAAAGCCTTTCTTCCTAACGAGTCAGAAGGAAAATGTTGTCCCCCTCCTTCTAGATATCTTTTGAAAGACAAGGCAGGAGGTAGAACTAGATGAAGCCAAAAGCGGTCAAATGTTCCTTTAATTTGGGCGGATTGGGTTCGCTCATCTCCTGGACAGAGACTAATGGAGCTCACCTTTAACTAGTCATGGAATCTTTAGGCAGTTAGATTGGTTATTGCTGAAATCTTTTAGACACATTGACAAATGGGTCATATAGGGGCAAACAACCGGTGAACAGGTTTGTTCTGAGCATTTGCCTCGGGGGCTGGAGTAGGTTACTATGGGATGCGGTGGGTAAAAATGAAAACCTATTTCATTTTTTTTCATTTTGCCTGATAATTACATTTTATACTTCCTCCCCTGGTTTTATGACATTTTCCCGATTTCCCAAAAGTGGGCATTTTTTTTTCTTTTGCATTTTTTCTTATTTTTAGTCTCCCATTTATATCATTCTTCTAATCATTGTGGTTGTTCTCTAAGGCTTTTATGGTCCCAAAACTATCCAGCTTAGCTTTATAATTTTTGGCAATTGCTTTCTTACACCCCACCTCTTTAAATTGTTTTTCTCCATAGTGTATGTTCTGAACCAAATTTCTCCTTCATTGCCTTAGTGTGGCTTCCATTCTTTCCAGGGAAGGAGGTTTAATTTCACTAGAAACAAACTGTGGCCTTCCTTTAGATTTAAATAGCACTGCTGCTTTATAATCAGTTTTCACAGGATAACAGTTTGGGCTATTGCTGGCCCACTGTTTTGTGTGCGCATGCAGGTTTTTTGGAATTACCGTATATGCTTGAATATAAGGTCAAATTAGAGCATGTCCTGGTTCTCCTCCAAAAAGAGGAAGTGTCTCACCTGGACTCACTTATGACTCAGGGAGCTCGAGAAACCTCCCAAGGAAATGGATAGAAAGGGAGGCCAGGATGTTTTACATGGCTTTAATAATAACTTCTAGCGAAATGACCTCCCCATTGTGAGGGTTTGGGAGACAACTCTAAAAACAATTCACTGAGTGGTTAATTTATAGAGATTTTAAATGGGCGCTTATTATTTACATGGCTTGTGATAAGATTACCAGCAAGCGATTTAAAAAGTGCTTTGTGACAAACATCCAGTCAACTTTAAGATCATGCTACTCTGGTAATACGGCACGAAGACTGTCAGCTTCGTCCTGGCTGTGGCAAGTTTCAATGACACTGTTTCATGAACTGTGAGGGTGTGGGAATAATATTTCTAAAGTTAATGTTATGGCATATGCTCTTAAACACGATAGTGCAGCTTTGTAGATAGTCGTTTGGTAGTTCCATTGCATTTTAAAAATGTTTATACGTTTGTTTTCCAAAAAGCCTTTACTGAGGGACAGAGTTTTCCCATTGGAAAAATGAGGAGAAGATTATTGTATATTTGGGGTCATCCTGCATTTGGACATACATGATACCCTTTAAAGGCTGATACAGTTTTTATATAGTCTGTGTACTGTTTCAGCTGGATCCAAGTGAAAGGATCCAATTCTTCCTCCCACCTCCCAGTTGGTGGGTGCATGTGGATTGGGGGATATCCATATTCCCTAGCTGCAAGTTTCAACTCAGACCTCCTTGCTCATCCAAGTGTCCAGCCCTAACGCTACCAGCCGCCTTCCAATTTTGAAAGATATTGGATGCTTTTTAGAGCTCACCCTTTTCTGCACTTGACTTCTTCCTATCTTGAAATGCTTCCCAATGCTTCCCTTCCTTGTTCCTGGGACAGCAGTGTCCCCGACTTCCCTCCTCTCCCCCACATTCTCTCCCTGGGCAATCTCATGTCCTTTCCAGACTCAGCTTCCCGTCCCCGCCATACTGAGGTTGAAAATTGGTAGTTTGCAGGCCATGTCTTGCCGGCAAGGTTGCCCCCTGCAGCGTGGTTGTTACTGTTTTGAAATGTGAATTTGTTGCCAGCATTTAAAAATGGGGATAAAATCCAGATTTCTAGTTCCTCTTGGAGAAGAGGATGAGCTGGTACGGCTGGGACCGAGCTGTGAGCATCTGTCTCCATGAAATGGGACACTGCTCTCCGTTTACTAAAAGCCTTAGCAACTGCTCCCTTTTGTCTCACGACTTTGATGTAGTGTTGTTTGCTTATCATGATTACACTATTCTGTTCTCTTCAGTAGAGCTATGAGGAAAAAGGATTTCTTTTGCCTATGCCTCTGTTCAAAAGTGGGAAAAATAAAAAAACTGGACCAAAAATGCCATGTGTTTCAAAACCGTGGAAGGGAACATGGTGTGTGTGTGTGTGTGTTTGTAAGAGAAGAATGTTCTTATAGATCTAATACTCAAGGTGTGTCTGAGTTGACAGCTTAAAGATGCTTATCCTGTAATCATCAACTTAGATGGTTTTGATGACCAAATGAATACTTTAGCCCATGTTTTTTTCTTCTGAAATCCAGAACAATCTCTTTGGTAATGTAGATTCATTTGTATTTACTGAGTACCTGGGATGTGCAAAGGTCCTGGGGGTGCAGTGGTAAGCAGGGCTGCCATGTTTCCTGCCAGCTAGGAGCTTACAGTCGGCTTGCACAGATCCTACAGGCACCCCACATTCAGCATGAGCCTGAGTACGATTCTCCCTTCCACTCTTCAAGTCCCCTCAGTGTCAATGATCAGAGTCACCCACAGATTGATTAACAATCTTCATTCCATCTGCAAACTTAATTCCTTTTGGGTATGTAATGTTAACATTCACTTGGTTGTAATACCAGGCATTAGGAGCCAACATCTTTGGAGTCTGTTTTTCTGCCCACCATGATATCTGCTTGCTTAAATGGATGATCATCTGCCAATTTGTGGATGACACTCGGGCTCCATGCGTGGAGTTTGAAGGACTGATACATTATGTTAGCTTTCAATTTTTTTTTTTTTTTTTTTTTGGGCTGCTTCCTCGAGTCTGTTCCTTCCCCTGGCTGGTGTTGCTCACCAGCTCACATACACGTGGCCACATTTGTATTTCCCCACCTGTTTGGGCAGCGCCTGTCTTGAATGATTCTTCCATTCTCTCCCAACCCCGTTTATTTAAATTCCAAGTTTCCGCTTTGATCCTGCTCCTTCTGGAAACTTCTCATGATGTGTTCTGCCCTCAATGCTCTCTGCGTTTCTGAAATCCTTTGGCTTTTTCAGTCTGCAGCAATTAATTGTATCATATTTATAAATATTTACTTATTGATTGTGGAGTTTTGACAGGGAGCTTTTTGGGTTGGTTCAAAGTAGCTCTCAAACAGTTCGTTTGCCTTCAGAAGCAAAATGTCATTCCACGATTTCAAATGCCTATCTGAAATATCCTGTGGTTTTGTTTATTTCAGGGACTTGAAGATAGAAAATTTGCTACTAGATGAAGACAATAATATCAAGCTGATTGGTATGACTTTTTTTTTTTAAACAAGACTATCCTTTAAGTGTTGTGTTGTCAATTCTCAGTTATTATTGACTTTGAAAATTATTCATCGTCTATTTCTAATCCCAGACAATACTCTAGGCCACCTCCTTTTACCTCCAATATTTAATAATGGTTTTGAAAATGAAAATTAATTTTAATAATAAACATAATTAGGAAGGTAGAAATACTATAAAGGGACCATAAAATTAATTTCACAGCTATAAATAAGTATCGGTTGGTTACATACATGTTCTGTGGATTATTCAAACTTTAGCTTTGCATAAACTCAAGTGGATCCGAATTTTTATGGGTGTTATTTTTATTTTGGTTAACCGTAAAACTTCTTAAAAATAGTGAAAAATAGTTTAGTTCAAAAGTCCTACTCTTAGCTTAGCCATGGTTTAATTCCCTTTCCATGAATATCAGAGCACTGAAGTCAAAGGGAACCCAGCTAACCTTCCGTTTTTATTATAATCTTTATCGAAGCCCCATCGTACAATTGTGCACAGAGAAATCCCCACAGAGGGATAATTTAGAAGGAAGGTAATCAGAAGGAAGTTCCAGGATAGAGTGAGTCATAATTGGTTCATAATTCAGGGTCCATAAGCGAGTTCACTCCATGACTCATTTTCTAGAAGAATTCCTTTTTGTTTGCCTGTATGATTGCTCTTGGCAAAAGTCTCACGGCATCATTTTTACACCCAGATGTGAGCACCATCATTGGTTCCTCTCTTTTCTTTCTTTTTCCCACCTCAGGTGCAAGTAATTTTTTCCATCTCAATGGCTTGAAAAAGGCTTTCTATTAGGAGAAAAGAGAAGGATCAATAGAATGTTGTGAATTTAACTCTCGTACCCGGGAAGGAAATTTTGTTTGGCAACTACTAAAAACCATCTCTAGACTCTCTGAAACATGTCATTCGAATAACCAATTAGATTCTCTGGCTCCCAAAACGAGACTGCTTGGCTGGCTGAATAAGCACCGCTGACAGGTGTTAATGAATGAACATACCGATCCTTAGAAAACTAACAAGAGGAAACCATTTTTTTTTTTTTTAAATTTCCCTCAAAAGATTTTAAAGATCAGATGCTTTAAAATGGACAATTCAAAGAATTTTCTTTTTATCCTGTCGTTTCACTATCGTGTTTCGGTTGTCCCAAGGGCCAAATACAGAAGCATAAAACAAGACAGACGTTGAAATGCCCTTAGGATGTCTTACTGGTCCTGGTTTCCGGGATCTGTGTCGTCGAACAAAGGCCCGTCCCGGTGGGGGGCGAGGAATGGAGGAAGGAAGATTGTTGAGGCTCTCTGGCAGGCTGACCTGTAACTTGTCTTCAGAAAATGTGGAGGTGACAGAGACAGGGTTGCCCTAACGGCAACCGATTGTAAGAAAACAGGCCACGTGAAGGCCAGATGTCCGTTATAGTAAAAGTTAAAATAATTCAATTATTTGAATTAATTCCCTCGTGCACCGTCCAGACTGAGGCTGAAGCAGGTCACCAGGGCATGGTTTCCGTCTCCTAACCTGGTACTGCTCCTGTTGCCCCTTGCCTTCCCTCTTACCTCCCTTCCCCTCAGGCCTTGCTCTCTCTTTCCTCCCAAGCGATAGCCCTAGATGATCACGTATGACACTAGAAGTGTACTGTGGAATGAACAGTGTTGAAAAGCCACAGCTTTTTGCATTGGTTAGAAGTGTGCTCAGAAGATTCTGGAAGAACCAATCTCTGTAAATAGTGGATGCGTTTCTAAGTAGCTCACAGATTGGCCGCCTGACAATCCCTCTTAGAGAGGACCCGTGCCAATAAGAGGAGGACATGCTCTCCGTACGTGAGAGCCCACGGTTCCCCTTGAGGAGAGCGGGCTGGTGGCTCTTTGGATTCACACGCCTCGGAGTCTCCTCTGCTCAACATGGCGGCCACTGGATTGGCACCCAAGCCCGGGACTCCAAGTGGGTTCTGTCAGAAATGAGGTATTAGAGACCACAGTTTCCAAGACTGCTGGCAAGGAGGCTCTGATCATTGGATTTCCCGTTATTTGAACTTTTTATGTGGCTCCCAGTTCCCTCATGACCAGCATAAACCAAAAGGCCTACCTCACACCTGAAATCCAAAGAGACATTATAGTACCAGATAGGACAACTGGGAATTGCCTTGTGTTTACCAATATCCGATTTTCCCCATTTTTTCCAGTGGGTCAGTCACGAAGCTAGTGGTGGGCGCTGGAGGGAGGGAAGACCCAGGGTCTTGTGCGTTTTCTTGCCTCTGGGTCGGGCCATTTGGATCCAATGTTTCTATGACTGTCTTTTTGCAACCTGAAAGCTCTTTGAACCTTTTCTTCAAAGGAATTACCTAGTTATTTTTCAAAGATGGATTATAGCTATTTCCATTTCCTCCTATAATAGTTTTCCTTCTTTGGAATAATTTGATTTAAGTGAATTTACTTAAGCCCGATCCGCCATGTTTCAAATAAACTAGAGCTAACTGGGAATAAGATCTGATTTAATCAAGATTCCCCCCCCCCCCTTTCAGAAAAAGCGGTCTGACGTTTGATCGTTTAGAACAGTTTTGTACTTCAGTTTCCCACAGCAGTGTTCCCTGGGGCATTTTGTGAGATTCATTTTGCGGCTCTCTGAGGATGGTGGGCTTCTCTATTTACCAGATCTAATTGGGGCAGACCTGGGAGACACTCTCTCTAGTTTCACCGTTCTAATTATAGGCACGTGTGTAAAATTTTAATAATTACCCTTATGGGTGTGAAAAGGACCGGTTATTTCTCTACAGTATATTTTAAATGAAGCCCTTCTGGCGAGGTCAACATTAAGTCATTTAAAATGCAGATCTTCTCTCCTCCCTCACCAGATCAGCTGCTAATTTAACTTCTTGAACCTGTGCTTGAGACAAGGCAAGGCATTGTGTTCCCCAGCTTGCCTGGAAGCAGGGAGGGGCGGGGCGGGTGGTGGTGGCAGGATAGAGGGTGGGGGGTGACCTGGTCTCTTATCTCACCGTGCCCTCTTGGTGTCCAGCAGTTCTTAACAGACCCCAGTCCACGAGTGGAGGGAGCGACCTGAAGGAGGCAGTCCTTTGCTGTGAATGGCACCCTGCTGAGATTAGACACAGAGTCTTTATTTAATGTCAGAAATCTAGAGAGAAACTTTATGGGACTCCTAGGAGATCAGGCCTCTAAAGTGACTGCGAAACTTCCCTTAAAATGTTGCCCCCCAAACAACGTAATCTTTATTCCATGGTGCTCTTTATGCATTTGTTGTTTTATTAAAATTCCTTTAGGATGATTTGCAGACCCAAACACTTAAGCAACCATCCAATTTCAAGCACGCTATGATTTTTCCTCTTACAAAAATATTTGCCCTCCCCCTTTTTTCCTGTGTCAGCAGTACTACAGGGGTCTGAGAGGTCTGAGAACAGGGGCCCTCGGATACTTTGGCACAGAGATCTCCTCTTAAGATGGGAAGCCGGGGGCCCTGTGGCTCCTGTAGGGACCTTCTTGGGCAGGTTATGTGGGACCTACTAGTGGGGACTGGGGGGGGGGGGGGGGGGGGGGGGAAGGAAAAGGGGGGGGGGGGGGGGGGAAGAGTAGGGAGCAAAGGGAAGTTACGAGAAAAAAAACATGGAATCATAAAAAAAACAGAAGCAAAGGAAGAGTTACATGTGTCCACATGCAGCATCCCCCAGTGGTTTGCCAATCCCTAGGGTAGGTTCTGGTTCTCCATCTCCAAGCCCAGTGCCTTGACTAGTTTTTGGAGCTCTGTCTTGGGGAGGGGGCTCTGTTTGGGAAAGCTCCTACATGACACAGTCTCAGCCAGCAACTGTGGGGAGAATTTCTAGTGGTGCATCTTGACCCGTGGTGTGAGTCACTTGATGGACTTAGTGTCACTTCACGCCCCATCCTGTGTTTTTCTGTTCCTGAGCGTTCCTGAGCAGTTATAGCAGTCAGGCGCTTGCAAGTGGAGGCACATTAGTCAAGGAGAAGACACAGTAATGAAAGCAGGTATAAATCCTACCGGTTGAGAAAGGACAAGGGTTTTGTTCAAGACATGGAGCCAGTCTCTGGCCACTGAGCCCTGGGGGCAGAGTCTCCTGTTTGGGGGCCGAGAACCATAATACTCACGTTGAAGTTCAAAGGAGAAGCGATGATCTGAATTCTGGGGTCAGCAAAGATTGAGGAAAGATATCAGATGGGGACAGAACGCTGACAACTCTGATTACCTGTCAGTTGCAGTATCCTGAGGATCAAAAAGGTAAACACAAAAGAAAAGGTGTACTATACCCAGCGAGCTTTGGATGCGTCGGGCTCTTCTTTGCTTTTCCCATTTGCCTTCATCATCCAAGAACAAGGCAACACTAGGAGGTCGCTTAGTCCAGTTCTCATTGCTGTCTTCCTGATGTTAGAGTTCCAGCCAACATTCAGCGTTGTCTAAATGGTCGGGGGTATAGTTTTCCCTCTTCCAATCCCCACACATCGCTACATGCACCGGGAGCATTTTTAAAAGACTTGCATGAAATTAAAACACTGAGCTGGAAAATGTCAAGTCTACATGGGGGGATCGCATGTCACCCGGGGTGACGCTGACCCCAGCCAGAGGAAACGGATCTTCCATCAGTGTTTCCCCACATGACCCCTTGGAAGCCAGATTGCTGACTCCGAGGCCTCTGCTCGTTCTCTCTTCCTGCCTGTAGTCCTAGAAAGCAAAGCCTCTCTTTTTCCTGGATGACTCATTTGCAAGGTTTGATGAAAATATGTTTTGGTTCAACATACTTTTAGCTCTAGCTGGATTTTACAGTGAGGACTGATATAAAATGTTTCCAGGCTCGAGACCCCATATCCAGAGGTTATGGTCTGCAGCTGCTTGGTGCTCCTTTGGGATGCTAAATGATGTGTCAGCCCGAGAGAACGTTTTCTTTCCTACTGCCGTCTGGTTGTTTTTTTTTTTTTTTTTTTCCTTCTTCTGTTTCACAATTTTCTAATTCGGAGCCGGTTTTGTCTTCCCCTGTTTGCAGACTTTGGTTTGAGCAACTGCGCGGGGATCCTGGGCCACTCCGACCCGTTCAGCACACAGTGTGGCAGCCCGGCCTACGCCGCACCTGAACTTCTCGCCAGGAAGAAATATGGCCCCAAAATCGATGTCTGGTCCATGTGAGTGATGGAGCTTATGAAAGGGGACTGTCATGTCCGCCCTCCCTCTCTTATGAAATAACCTTTGAGTATTTGATGACAAGCGTGTTGTATTACCGGCTCTGGGATAGATAACCGGTGATTCTTTGGGGCCTGGCTTTCCACCTCTGTTCCTTCTGGTCAGTTCTCCACAGACCACCAGAGAGGCTTTTGCCAAAATACCTTCCGTTGCTGGGGAGACAAGAAAACAAAGTTCTGAGCTCACAGAACTCACGTTCTGGTTTCACGAGTCACTCCTGTGGTTCCCCTGCTTAAAATCGTCCCGCAGCTTTCCTTTGTTCCAGAAGAAAGCCGCATGTGTCTCCTACCCCACCCTCTGCTCTCGATTCCTCAGGCACGTTGGCCTCTGTTTCATCTTTCCCACCTCTGGGCTTTGCACCTGCTCTTTCCTGGGTCTGGAATGCCATTTCCCGGTTCTTCAGGTGGCCTGTCCACTCCCACATTCCAGTTTTAATCCAGTGCTCCCCCTGCAGAATGCATCACTGAGTTCCCTGTCAGAAAGGCCCCCACGATTCTGTCTCCTCACCCTTGCAAACCCCATGGCGGCCTGGCATTTTATGGCTTGTGAATCCATTTAGTGTGTGTCTCCCTAGTTGGGAAGGATGCTGCGGGAGGATGGGGACCTTATGGGTCTGCTTCACCAGTGTCCCGCACAGGGTGGGCCACCAGTCACCCCTGAAGGGGTGGGTCAGGGGTCGCTGCCGTGTTCCTGAGTCTGGGTCCCCACGGTCCCCACACTGAGTAAGCCCCTCAGCATCAGGTGTGAATGGTACGGGGAGCCGTGCAGGGTCCTGGATTCTGGGGTAGGGACTAAGTTCCTCACCAAGGGGAAGTGGGCTGTCGCCGGAGAGTGGGCTCCTGATTAAGATGGAATTTGGCGATGAGGACGGCTCATTTGAGCCCAGGATATGTTGATCCGGTACATTTCTGGAATTCCCCTACTTCTCTCCCTTCTCGCTACATATCCCTTGTCCAGATTGGAGAAAAGCTAACATTTGCCGCATGCTTGGTGTATGGCATGCACCATGGCACTTAATTTTCACGGTAACCCAGTGAAACTTTTACTCTCTGGTACCCCCATTTTATGGGAGAAGAAACCCATCGCAAGAGACATTAAGAAAATTTCTTAAGGTCACGGGGCTACTAACTGGTGGAGCTGGGGTTTGAACCAGGCAGACTCCAGGGTCTCAAGATAAAGGACTGAATCCTGAGCCTGGCCCCATTGCCTCGTGGGAAGCCATTCTCCACATCCGTTCTCTAGCGGGCTCCGTGTTGTCTCCTATCCCTTGCACGTGCTGTTCCCTCACCCAGGGATTCTTGTCCCTGCTCCTGTACACCTTCTCTTTCCCTCTTCTTTTCTGGGATTCCACTTCCCCTGGGCAACCCTCCGTGCCTCCTACAGGCTGACTTGGAGCCTCTGGTGTCTCATCTGTTTCCTATGCCCTGCTCCGCGGGCTCTCACCCCAGGGTCCCGGCTCCCCTGCCCGAAGCCCTGCTCTGCAGGCCAATGGGGCAGGACAGTGGGCACGGAGCCAGGGCTAGAGAAAGGAGGGAGGGGAGGGAGGGACAGAAGCTCTAGGGTCAGGGGCTACCATTGGCAGAGGAAGCAGACAGAGCCAGGGAACCCCGAGGGAGGGTCTAGAAGGGAAGGGAGCTCAGGAGGTTCCAGTGGGAGGTGAGGGGAACTGGAGCCCAGCATGAGATGCTGAGGACAAGAGAATTCCCGGGACTTGGGTGCAGCTGGTCACAGGTTAGTGGGGAGTCGGCTTCCGTTCCTGGGAGGGCTGAGTGCTCTGCGTTAATTATCCCCTTTGATCCGCAGGACAGCCGGTGAGGCGCTCTCGTGCCCATTTTACAGAGTAAGTGGTGGAGATACACTTTGCACTCACGGCTCTTCGGCCGAAAGCCTGAGCTCCCAGGGACTTTCCTGACGCCTCAAGAGGAGGTGTGGTTAGCGCTGTAGCTGGAGTGCTTATGGCCCCCAGGGAGGAGGGTGCTGGGGGGCCGCCAGAGTGAGTGGGAGTGCTAGCAGGAAGCCCCGGCAGAGGAAGCCTGCTCATCGAGGTTCCCTGGGTTGTTTGGCCGGCATTGCTGATTCACAGGCTCTTTATTCTGGGCCCAGAAGGGCCTCAGAATCCTTCTTAACACAGCCATCAGAAAGCACTGCCAATGGATCAGAGTCGATACTTGAGGTGAAGTCCATTCTTGGTCCCTTTCAATGCTTAAGAATTCTCACACATGTCTGGCACATGTAAATATTTATTGAGGGATGAATATAAATGTTAAAGTCTATAATCACCTTCTCTCCTTAACAGTTAGGGAACTCACTTATGCTAAATGGAGAGCTATACAAGGGACCATTTGTGCACCAATCAATCAATCAATCAATCAATCAATAAAAAATAATTAATTAATTAATTAATTAATTAATTAATAAGAAGGCTATGGAGCATAGAGAGCCTGAAAAGCCAAGAGGTTCAGAAGCGTGATGTAACTGGTGGCGTGGGAGGCGTAATGACCATGGGGAAGAGAAGCCAGCAGCTGGAGAGCAGGTGACAGTATCCTCCTCCGGCCCTGCTCTCCCAGGGACTGAAGGGTAAGTGTCATCACGAGTTGTCATGGTGACAAGGCTCAGCCTACAAAGGGGGACCTTTCCACTCCATGGCTGCCAACACAGGCAGCTCCTCACCACCTAGAAATGTTGGTAGAAGGGAAGAGCCTTGTGGATTGTCAGAGAGGCGGGGGAACTCCTGGGCATGTTTCACCTGCGTGGACCCTCTCTCTCGTCCCCTCGTGCTGACTGTAGGATGGGAAGAAATCATTTCTCCTCTTTGGGGAAATCCAAGGGGAAATGGAAAGCACCAGCTGCAAAAGGCAGCACCGTCTGAGGGTCAGGTGTAAGCTCACACTTTGTCCCTGGCCCTCCTGCCAAGCCCCTGGGTTTGGGAAAGAAATCCACAGTTAGGGACCCCAGGTGCTCTATTTCTCAGTTTTGGGGACCCCATGATTCAAATAAAGGGGCCTGGTCTCCTGCCACCTGTTGTGTCCCCACGCGTCAGCCAGAAGCAGTGGCTCCACCGGGAAGGTGGCTTCAGAGGAGGGAAGATGGAGGGGAGCTGCGGGAGGGAAGGGGGTGACCCAGAACCCTCGCTTCCCTCCTCCGCCCTGGCTTCTGCCACCGCTGGGCCCTCTGGAGCTGCTGGACGTTTCTTCGCTCACCTCCCACTTAGTTGCCTTTTTTTCCCCCAAGAAGGTGATATGCAGCTTCCGGTTTTCTGAAAAGCTCTCGTCAGGCCTCATTCTTAGTCCTGGTGCCAGAGAGTAATGTATGGGTAAGTCTTTGACAACTGGTAACACACCATACACACCTTGGTCTTTTCAGTTGATTGTGGCATTGCTCCGGAGGCTGATGGGGGATCTCTAGGTAGACTAGAAACTCTGTGTGCTAGTGCCCCGTGGTGGGGCATTGTGGTAGAGATACTCACCCTGTTTAGCCATGAAGGACCCTGTTTTATTCTAATAAATGAAGTTTCCCTGGAGCAAGATTGGTTAGCTGACCCTGGAACATTCTCTAGGGGATGAGGCCACAGGACCCATGCCTAATTCACAGGGATGGCATCAATTGGGCCCCTTTTAGAAGCTGCTGTTGATAAAGCTTAAAAAGCAAAAAGAGGCCACGTGAGGAACAGATAGCTTACCAGCAATTTGTTCATTCGGCAGTTACGTGTTGAGCCAGGCGCTGTGCCGAATTCTGAGTGCACAGCGGGGAGTCAGCCAGGAAGCCTTGGTCAATCCTTGGTTCCACAAAGATTGTTATTAACGCTCACATACCTTGGACTGAGTGACAGGCAGTGTTCCAGGGGCTTTGCAAGTATTAACTCATCTTGTCTGCCTAACAACCCTTCAAGGGAGTGCTCTGTGATCCCACTTTACAGATAAGGAAACTGAGGCCCTAAGAGTCTTGGGCCCTCACCCAAGTGGCACTGATAGGGCGTATAGAGCTAGGATTTGACCAAGCTGGCTTGACTCTAGAGTGTGTCTTAAATCGTCACTCTTTACTGCTTCTACTTCTACTATGTTGTGCTTCCTCTCCTGGGATTTCCATTCTAGTGGGGCAGACGGTTTTTAAACAAGCTGTAAGCTGGGTGTGGTAACGGCTATGGAGGAAATGGGTGAGATGCAGGGAATGAGGATGGGGGGTGGCCTCCAGGGGAGGAAACCTCAAAGCCAGATCCTTAGGATGAGGAGAACTGAACTCTGGGGAGAGGGAGGTGTCAGGAAGGAGGGCCTGAGACACAGGGAACAGGATGTGGCAAGACTGGGGTGGGGGTGGGGTGGGGTGGGGAGGTTTGGGAAGGGGTTTGGGTTTCACCCTAAAGGTTATGAGAAGCCACTGGAAAATTATAAGCAGGTGGGTAAGAACATGTTATGGATTGAATTGGGTTCTCCTCCCGAATGATATGCCGGAGTCCTAACCTCCAGTGTCTCAGAATGTGATGTTATTTGGAGAGAAGGTCTTTACAGGGGTAACCCAGTGCAAACGAGGCCATAAAATCCAGTATGACAGATGTCTTTATAAAGGGGAGAAATTGGGACACAGAGAGACGCAGGGAGAACGCCATGTGGGGCTGAAGGCAGAGCTCTTAGTGCTGTATCTCCGAGGTAAGGAACACCAGATAGCCACAAACCACCAGCAGCTCTGGGAGCAGCATGGAACAGGTTCTCCCTCCCAGCCCTCAGGAAGAACCAACCCTGCTGACTCTCTCGGCTTGGACTTCGAGCCTCCAGAACTGTGAGAAAATCAATTTCTGTTGTTTAAGCTCTGGAATCTCGGGAAAGGCCAAAAGTAAACTGATGAGTAAAAACTCTCCACTCCAGATCCCAAGAGCCATTCTCCTTCCCAGGAAGTACGAAGTATGAAGTGATACCTGTCCTGAATCAAGTTCACTAACAGACGAATA